GGTGGGAGCCCACGCACTCCTGGCCCCGCTTGCCGCCCCTGTGTTGGCCAAGAGGGGCCCTGCGTGGGGCGGCCCAGCGAGCGGATTCTTCTGTACCGCCGTGCCCGTGCATTGTAAAGACAGTCGTTGCCATCGCATCTTGCCATCGATGATGGACGTCGTGTTTCGGAACTAGGAGCGGCTCTGGCCATCGGCTCTGTGGCGCAAAGAGACAGTCCTGCGTGGCCGGGCGGCAGAGCATCCCCGTGGAAGTGCCCCTCTCCTCTCAGTTCTCTGCAGCAAACCTGTTTACATTGTAGCCTGACTTTTTTCTTTTTATATTTTTACTTCTGCATGTCCTTTGCATTTCAGATACTGTAGATCGGATGCATGGTGAAGCTGTGACTGAGAAGATAATACAACAACTGACAGTGTATTTCATTTAACTTTTAGCAATAAACTAACTAAACCCTCTATTCCTCACCCATGATGGGGTCAGATAGAAAACTCTGCTAATTTGTCATAAGACGATTGTCAAAGTTTGCTCTGGATTGTCTGAATGTCAGAACTCTCGACTGTTTAACACTTGAACATTTTTTATATTATAAATAAAATAAGAAATAACAAACTGTGGGCTGCATTAATCTCAGGCGATCTGGGGGGCAAATGGGGAGCTGTGGCAGGTACCATACACAGAATCACGGCCCGGCTGAGGTCAGAAGAGACTTCTGGAGGTCACCTGGGCCAGCTCCCCTGCTCAGCCAGCTCGCCCAGAGCCCTTTGTCCAGGGCTGTGCCAGTCAGGTTTTTAGTATCTTCAGGGATGGTGACACCACAACTCCTTTGGGCAACCTCTGCCAGTGCTTGGTCACCCTCAGAGCAAAAAAAGTGTCTTCCTGGGTTCAGACAGAATTTCCCGGTTTTTGATTTGTGCCCGTTGCCTCTTGTCCTGCCACTGGACACGACTGAGAAGATCCCGGCTCCCTCTTCTTCATTGCCTCCCATCAGGTATTTATACACATGGGTAAGATACCCCCGACCCTTCTCTTCTCCAGGCTGAACAGTCCCAGCAGCCTCAGCCTCTCCTCATCTGAACGATGCTCTTGTTCTGTAAACATCTTTATGCCCAGAGGTGGGTGTTTTTCTGCCTGGCACGGACATTTGACCTTCACTGCAGGGCTTGGGAGTGGAAATTCACTGAGGTGAGTGGCTGCTACCCACACATCTCCTGGGGGGATGCCATTCCTTCTCCACCCACAAGCTGGGAGACCCCCCTTCACCCCATCTGTGGAAGCTTTCTGTTGCGCAAAGCAAGGCCAAGATGCACAGCACACGCTTCACACGCTGGCACCGATTCCAGTGACTTTTGCAGCAGAGTGGAGATGTGTTGGGTCCGATTCCACAAGTGCTGTACCACCATGCGACAACACAGGTCCCTCCTTCAGCTCTCCCATGGCGGGTCTCTGTCTCTGGCCAGCCCCCACGCTGGGGAACGGCTGAGAATATGGTGTACTCATGGGAAGCACAGTTCCTGAGGCTGCACCTGGGGCTCAGTCCCGCTCGGACCCCATGCCTTTTTCCTGCTCAGTGAGATGAATGGGTGCCCAAAAATCCCAGCTAAACTCACTCAGGAGAGGGAGCCGCTACACACTGGTCTGAGTCAAGTCCATAGGAGTGCACGGAGCCATGAGAGTCCCTGGTCTTCACAATGATGCTCATGCTGAAGGCCAGGGTAAGCCACCCACTGCCCAGGCTTCTTCTGCTCCAGCACCCCCAGGATGCCCACTGCCTTGGAGCTGACAACCTTTCAGTAGCTAAAGGCCTTTCAGTACCTAAAGGGGGCCTATAGGAAAGATGGGGAAAATCTTTTTAGTAGGGCCAGCTGTGTCAGGACAAGGGGTAATGGTTTTAAACTAAACCAGGGTAGGTTTAGACTAGATATAAGGAAGAAATTCTTTCCAATGAGGGTGGTGAAACCCTGGCAGGGGTTGCCCAGAGAGGTGGTGGAGGCCCCATCCCTGGAAGCATTCAAGGCCAGGTTGGACGGGGCTGTGAGCAACCTGATCTAGTTAGCGGTGTCCCTGCTCACTGCAGGGGGGTTGGACTAGATGACCTCTAGGGGTCCCTTCCAACCCAAAACATTCTATGATTCTATGACCTGACTGGGTCTCAGGCCACCCCTAACATCCATCACACGTGCCGTGGGGGCTCCAGCCAGACCAGAGGGCTCAGCACTTCACCCTGAGTAAGGGCATCTCAGCGCTGATTTCCAGAAACATTGAAGGCTGAAGGATCCATGGGGCCCCTGTGGCCCAGCAGCAACGTGCAAAGGAGGTCTTGGATGTCTAGGACTAGGGATAAAGGAGGTAGGGTCAAGTCCTGACTTGGGTGACATTTACCACATAACCTTTGGACACACCATGTCCCACTTCTGCGCAGCCCCAAGCCTTGCTGGATGAAAGCAGCAGCTCCGTGCAGTCTCTGCCCCCCCGTTACCCTTGGGACAGGCTGTGACTCCCCATTGCCTTTGGTCCCCCAGCTTAGTGTGATGAGATGGACAGGAATGGGCAGAGAGCACCAGAGCCCCTGGAACGGACACACATGGGAGGTCACCGAGGGTGAGGATCCCTGGGGAAACCAGCCACACAGAAGAAAGAGAGGGGGGCCTTTGGGCTCCCAAAGCAACCCCATCTCCCTGCCTGGCTCTCCTCAGCGCCTGTGAGCTGGTGAGCTCTGTGCATGGAGAAGTCCAGAAGGACGGGACATCATCCAAAGAGACCTGGACAGGCTGGAGAGGTGGGCCTGTGTGAACCTCATGAGGCCAAGGCCAAGTGCAAGGTCCTGCACCTGGGTTGGGGCAACCCCCGGTATCAGTACAGGCTGGGGGAAGAAAGGATGGAGAGCAGCCCTGCCCAGAGGGACTTGGGGGTGCTGGTGGATGAAAAACTGGA